AGTACAAGTTGTCATCAACCACAACACTCCCGGCCTGCCAAAAATCTACATTCACCGGGTCGGCCGGACAGCCCGTGCGGGTGAGCAGGGAAAACTGCCTGCTGTTTGCTGGCTGAAACTGGGATCCCAGTGCTGGGGCTGAGCCCTGAGGGGGTGCAAGGAGGCGTCACAGCAGCTGCAGTGCACACTTGTCAGTCGGCGCTGGATCCATTCGGATCAGTGGCTCAGCATCCTTACGACCGCAACGACGGCTCACCCCAACTCATGTCTGAGCTGCACCAGCAGTTAACTGGTTCTTCAGAACAAATAAAGACCCCCCTGAGCACCCTGTCGCCTTGATGTGCCAGGCTGACTCCTGGGGATGGATGGAATTGGGCATGGGTTAGGCTTCGTCTCCCTCTGCTTGTCACGATTCCTCCATCGCTGTGTTTTCATCCTCCAGGCCGGAAAGGAATCGCCATCACGCTGGTGACGCAGTATGACATCCACCTGGTCCACGCTATCGAGGAGGAAATCAGTGAGTAGAGCACCAGTCATGCTGCTAAAACGTGGGGCCGTGCATGTTCCTGTGTGCCTGTGGCACCCGCAGCCCTGATTTCGTCAGTGCGGGACGTACGATCCAGCCATCGGCGTGAAATGGTTTCTCTTCCCTCGGTGGCTGAGGCTTGGAAAAGAGCAGGAGCGCTGGAATCTCCATCAGCTTTGGCTCTGCTCTTGTGGCTGTGCCAGGCAGGAACGTGTTTGTCTTCCTGCTGTTTCTAGTGGAGGAGAAACTGTGTTGAACTCTCTCTGTAATCTTTTCATTAAGGCAGCCAGTTTCTTCCTTACTTCTGGATTCTGGCTATGCAGAGCTGGACAGAAAGAACAGGCTGCTTGTATAGGTTCAGACTTCATCTTTTTTTAGGAAGTAAACCTAATTAACTTGTGCCGTGAGGAGCTGTAGGTAGAGGGAGGATTTAATCCTTTATTGCAGGCCTGAAGAAGTCAGAGTGCTCATAGTATATGACAACAATTCCGCTGATTATCAGTGGAACAATGTTGGGATTTGCTGGTTGAGGATCCCCCTCTGGATTTTGTAACCAGCCATGGTCTGTAAGCGTCTCGCCCCTGTTTAGAACTGAAGCTGCAGGAGTACTCCGTGGAGGAGCGGTTGGTGCTTGACATCCTCACCCAAGTGAACGTCACCAGGAGGGAATGTGAGATAGTAAGTGTGCAAACACGAACCCTTTGTCCCAGGGGCTGGGCATCTCGGGCAGCTGAGTGTAACCAGGAGATTTGCTGCAGTCTGACGTGCGGCTCTGAACATGCAGCTTTGCTCTTGAGCACATAAATAAGAATTTTTGTTCCTTTTTCTGGTGGGAGCACGTGACGCTCCCCACACACAGGTCTGGTTTGGTTATCTCCCCTAGGTTTGCTCTGTTATTGCATGTTTTTGCAGCATTTTTGTGCTGCTGGATGTTGAGGCTGGTACTTTGGGAGGCTACCAAAGGTGTGCGCACTGGTGAGGCCCTGCTGACTCTGTAGAGCTGCGCTGCTTTTCTCCACGTCAGATTTGGTGACTGATGGTCCTGCTGGATTTTTGCTTTGACAGGAACTGGAGGGAATGGATTTTGATGAGAAGAAAGAAATAAATAAGCGGAAACAAATGATCCTTGAAGGAAAGGTGAGAATTGCTGCTCTATAAACTACTTTGATCAATAGCTAGTATAATGTCGTCGATGTGGAAAAGGAGTGACAGTTCCTCCCTCACTGCCTCGCTCCCCTTCGGAGTGGTGGAGTTTTATCTCAAAGGGTGACATCCCAAAACGTGCATTGGAGCAGTGTCTGACTTCTGCAGCCCGCTCAGACACAGGCTGGGAAGCAGCGTGGGGATCTAGGAAAGGCAGAGGGGCTGGCACTGTCCCTAGGCATGCCACTAGTGTCACTTGCCATTGCAGGATCCAGATCTGGAGGCAAAAAGGAAGGCAGAGCTAGCCAAGATCAAGAAGAAAAACAAGCAGTACCGTGAGAAGGTCCAGCAGACAATGCAGAAGAAAAAGCAACTGCAGCTGAAGAGGAAGCTGCAGAAGAAGACGGAGCGGCAGCGGAACAAACTGCACGCTGCGGAAGACAAGTAGCATCCTCT